ATATTAGTTGGCTGTGACTCGCTCTCTCCATCTGCCCTTTCGATTTCTTTTCCTCTCTCTCCCTCGATCCATTGCAGTGTCACCAGGTCTCAGCTTTTCAGAATCCCAGGAGAATCAGGCAAGGAAAAGAACCTCTCGCTCTGGCAATCAGCTAATTGAAGTCACTCTTACAGGGCACTCAGCCAGAGAAGGAAGCCTCGCAGTTAATTTATCCTCTCTCGCAAGGCTTAACCCAACCTGGGAGAAGCATTAAATAGAGGGGCCAAGGAAGCATCAGGGAGAGGCTATGCTTCTGCTCAGGCATCCACAGCCCTGAACCAGGTTTTTCTGTCCTGCCATTCATCCACACACTAGTGCGATATTTCCTGAGCCCCAGGATGTACTAGGCACAGAGGGTGCAGCAAATGGTCTAACTGGAGAGACAGAAATTAACACTAGCACCGTCACTGCACATGGACAATAACCCTGCCAGTTGTTAATGAATAAATGACCAGTTGAACAAGAGTGGTGGAGGTAAGGCTTGGTTCTTCCAGCAGCAAACAGACACACTGCCCCAAGGATAAACACTCTGGATGGAGGCCCCTGGAGGAGAAACTGTGACCTCTTGACGGAGGGAAGTCCAACTGACTGGCAGGACTGCTGTTGCCGAAATGAAAGGTGTCAACAAAGACTCTGATTTAATAATGGGCAGAGGATCTGAACACAGTCTTCCAAAGAAGACTTATGGATGGCCAACAGGTACATGAAAAGATACTCAACATCGCTCGTCATCAGGAAAATGCAAATCAAAGCCAGGACGGAGTGGCTATCGCCCAAAAGACAAGAAGCTACAAGTGCTGGTGAGGAAGATTGTAGAGAAAAGGGATCCCTCAGGCACTACTGGTGGGGGTGTAATTTGAGGCAACCTCTTTGGAAAACGGTGTGGAAGACCTCAAAAAATAAAAACTACCCAGGGACACTGCAATTCCACATTTGGGCATTTATCTGAAGGAAAGAGAAACATTGATTGGAAAAGATCTGTGCGCCCCCATATTCCTTGCAGCATTACTGACAGTAACCAAGACTTAGAAACAATCTAAGTGTCCATCAAGGAGTGAATGGATAAAGAAAATGAGATACTGATATGTGCTATGTATATTATATATATATATACATTATTGACATCACACACACGCGAAATGGAATATTATTCAGCCGTAAGAAGAAGGAAATCTTGGGCTTCCCTGGTGGTCCCGTGGATAGGAGTCCATCTGCCAATGCAGGGGACACAGGTTCAACTCCTGGTCCAGGAAGACCCTACTTGCCGGGGGACAACTCAGCCTGTATGCTTAGCTCCTGGCTCCACAACCAGAGAAACCATCCCTCCAAGAAGCTCACATACGGTGACTAACAGTAACCTATGCTTGGCACAACTAGAGAATGCCTGCACAATAGCAGCGAAGACCCAAGGCAGCCAAAATGTAATTAAATTAATCTTAAAAAGAAGGAAATCCTGCCATTTACTACTGCATGTGTGGACCTGGAGGGCACTGTGCTAAGTGAAATAATTCAGAGAAAGACAAATACTGTGTGATCTCATGTATATGTGGAGTCTAAACAAACAAACTGAGCTCATGGATACAGAGAAGAAATCAATGGTTCCCAGAGGTGGGGGTGTTGAGAGGTGGGAGAAATGAGCAAAGGGCATCAAAAGGTACAAATCCCCCGTGAGTAAAATAAGTAAGTCGTGGGATGTAAAGTATGGTGATGCATAGTTAGTAATACTGTGTTGCATATTTGACAGTTGCTAAGAGAGTAAGTGTTAGAAGTTCTCATCACAAGAAAAGAACTGTAACTGGTGATGAATGTTCACTAGACTTACTGCAGTGATCATTTCACAATATATACAAATATTGAATCATTATGTTGTACACCTGAAAAGGAGGTAGGAGGTAGATGGGCCCCCGCAGGGTAAAGCAATTGGAGATTTCATTCCCTGTATTGATCCCTCAGATCGATACTCTGAGACAAGAATAGCAAGACAGTCAAAACAGGAGGCTGGGCCCTGCCTGGATAGAAGATAGGAGACCACATACATCTCATTCTCAGAGTCAGGAGAATGAGACTACACTCTCATTCCCCGACTACACCTGCACAGAAAAGCCCCTAGGAGGTCAAAAGGGGAGTGATGCTAAGTCTACCTGCCCATAGGCCTCTTTGGTAGAATCCATCTTGGCTGAGAGGCATGCAGGCACACATGGGAGGATCCTGAGATGAACCAAACATGGGCTCAGAGCCAGGCAAAGCCGGACGATTGGCCAAAGGAAACCTGGCACAAATGCTGCATATACGTGACTCAAACTACCTCCATGAGGGTGCAACTCTCTGAGTCCACCCGTGTGTCCAGCCACACGCACTGTATTCTTTTTCCTCCTAATGAACTCTTTACTTGTTTCACTCCTTTCTGTCTTTGTGGGATTTTTTTCTACCAAGCTGAAGGCCCAAGGACTTTATACTAACCACTAGTTTGTTTTTTGTTTGTGCACATGCTGAGTCATGTCCAACTCTTTGCAACCCCGTGGACTGCAGCCCACCAGGCTTCTCTGTCCATGGGATTCTCCAGGCAAGAATACTGGAGTGGGATGCCATGCCCTCCTTCAGCAGTTCTTCCCAACCCAGGGATCGAACCCGTGTCTCTTGTGTCCCCTGCACTGGCCAGTGGGTTCTTTACCACTAGCGCCACCTGGGAAGCCCCACTGGTCTAGTGATTAGGATTTGATGCTCTCACTGCTGAGACCCAACCTCAGTCTCTGGGCTGGGAACCAAACCCCTGCTTCAAGCTGCTGCAGGCGAGGCCCCCAGAGTTCAAAGCAAATACAATGTTATACATCAGTAATATTGCTGGTGGGGGTGGGGGAGGAAGGAAGAAAGGCAGGTATTGAAAAATGCCCAGAGTGGTCCGCAGGGAGCCTGGAAGAGCCTTGCCCAAGACTCTGCCCCCAGAGCCAGAGTCTGTGACAAGTGTCTGGGGTAGGAGTGACCTTAGAGATGGGGATGTGGAGAGAGCCACTGGGGGCGCTGTCAGGAGCTTGCCACCATGATGTCAGAAGTCAAGTCTAAAGCACTTCAGAGACGATGAAGGAGCAGGAACCTGTGTTTGTGTCGAAGCTACAGTCCTGGAGTAGTTTTCAGTTGCTTTAATCTGGAATTCACGGTCCAGCTGGCATCCTCTCCAAGAAGGCCTTGCTGGCTCCAGCAGCCGCTTGGACAAGAGCTTTACCTTCGGTGTTGATCAACCAGAGGTTTTGCTAATTCGCATAATGACTTAAAAATCAGTGGGTTTTCAGAGGTGAAATCAGTGGCTTGTCAGCGAGCTTAATGGATGCTAGTAACAGGCACTTGCTGATGAAGTTGCTGGTATCGAGCGCATGTAGCTTGGCTAAAGCATTTTAGAGATGCCCCCTCTCCCGGCAGGAAGAGGGGGGTGAGACTCCATGAGCATTCCGGATTCTGTATCCGGCCAGCGATGTAGGGAGATTCTAGTTGCCTGATGGGGACTCTTAATAGTCGCAGAATGTGGCTCTAGACTATTCTTACCTCTGTCTAAGATTCACTGATTTTTTTTTAAAATTTTTGGCCACACCCCATAGCAATGTGGGACCTTGGTCCCCCAATCAGGGACCGAGCCCATGCCCCCTGAAGTGGGAAGTGGAGTCCTTACTGACCACCAGAAAGTCCCTAAGACTTCCTGAATTAATATCATGTTGCATGAACTATTTGAGGCCTGCTTGCTCACAATTGTTGCTTAATAAATGTCACTGTAGGGGTGGAATTCTGTCCACAACTTCAGTTCCCCGTAGCCTGGTAGCCAGACTCTGGGAAAGCTGCAAGCCTCACATGATCCCTCTAAAACGAACACGGCTTCTGCATCTCACACTGACTTAGGTTTCTTTGCAGTAATGACCCTAGGAGTCACTGAGCCTGCAGCCAGGTCTTCTAAATCCCAGGCCATTGCTCTGTCCCCAGCAGTTGGGAATGGCCAAGATACAGGTCTGCCACCTCCTTGAAAGTATCTTCCCTCCGGCCCCAAGACCGGGCTGCTGGCCAGAAGCTCTGCCTTTAGCAAATGAGATGGCCGGGGGAGAGCACTGCAGGGTAGAAAATGCCCTGGGCTCCCTGAATTCCAAGAGGGACATCTGTGTTTGAGATCCGTCTTCTTTGGGTATCTGCAGTCACCAAGGGCCTTCCGGTGCTACCCCTCCATGACCCAAACCCCAGGCACAAGGGTGCTCTGGAACTTGTCTGCGCATCTCCTGCCCTCCAAGGAGACAGAGGATGAGATGATTGGATGGCACCATCAACTCAATAGACATGAGTTGGAGTGAATTCCGGGAGAGAGTGAAGGACAGGGAAGCCTGGCATGCTGTGGTCCATGGGCTTGCACAGAGTCAGGCACGATTGAGTGACTGAACAACAACAAAAGTCTGTGAGGGTCGAGGAAATAGGAGGTCCAGAGAGGAGGAGGGAACAAATCTGTTTCTCTCCAACACCCGCCCTGTCCACCTGGACCAATAGCAGATCCAGGGAACTCCCTGGCAGTCCAGTGGCTAGGACTCCAAGCTTTCGCTGCCTAGGGCATGGGTTCAGTCCCTTGTTGGGGAACTAAGACCCCACAACCCACAAGGCATGGCAAAAAACAAAAGTGGATCCATAGATCTGCTGGTGGAGACGGCACTCCTACTGGACACGCTTTAGAGTGACGGTCCAGAAGGAACTGAGACTTTAGAAAGATGGACTTCCCCAGAAAACTCTGCCACTCCCGAGACTCAGGGGGGCCAGCAGAAATGCCTGGGGCCTGGGCTGTAAATTTGTCATTAAAAACTCCCTGTGTCATTAATTCATTTATTCACGTCCCTCTCTCCCATCTAGACAATAAACTCCATAGGCCAAGATGATCTGTCCTGTTAACTACTTTACGGCCACAGTGCATAGTATACCCTCACTAAATACTTGTTGAATGAATGAATGATGGACGGGAAGCAGATGGAGAGGATGCAGCTATCACCCTGCAGCTCTGCCTTGATGAGAGTCTCCCTGCCGAGTTTCCTCCACTGCACGGTGACAAGACCTCACGGGGCGGCCCTGGGGGAAGGAGACCTGAAGCCCTTGAGAGCTGGAAGGGGCTGAGCAGAAGGAATAATGACCACGATGTCCAAAGACATTCTGGGCCGTCTCAGACCTGCCTCGGAGGTTTGGAGAAGCAGGAATCAGCACGTAGTGAGCACGTGCTGTGTGGCAAGCACTCGGTGGACATTGTCAAGTGCACACATTCTGCCACACTCCCTGGAGCCATGGAGGAGGCCTGGCTCCGCTCCTGCTAGTGGACACGTTGGTCAGAAGGTGGCACCAGGCCCATCTTCATCTGTAACAACAAGAGTAGAAGACACCCTGATTCTGCACAAGAAAGGCACCCCTGTAACAAAGGTAAGGACCATTGTTGTCTCCATTTGAAAGATCGAAATGTAGGATCAGAGCTTGAAGGCACTTGCCTAAGAGGATGTGGTTTAAAATGTGTGTTGTTCAGTTGCTAAGTCCTGTCCTACTCTTTGCGACCCAGTGGACTGCAGCACGATAGACTCTTCTGTCCTTTACTCTTCTGGAGTTTGCTCAGACTCATGCCCATCGAGTTGGTGATGCCGTCCAGCCATCTCATCCTCTGCTGTCCCCTTCTCCTCCTCTTCTCAATCTTTCCCAGCATCAGGGTCTTTTCCAATGAGTTGGTTCTTTGCAACAGGTGGCCAAAGTATTGGAGCTTCAGCATCAGTCCTTCCAGTGAATATTCAGGGTTGATTTCCTTTAGGATGGACTTGATAGGTTTGATCTCTTTGCAGTGTAAGGGACTCTCAAGAGTCTTCTCCAGCAACACAGTTCAAAAGCGTACGTAAAATGTACGGGACAGAAGCAGTGCAGGTCCATCTGAGATCAAAGCCCTGCCTCTCGCTGGAGCAGCCCCCTGAGCCCTATTTCTGGTCAGCCAGAGGAAGGCAGGGGAGCCAGGAATCCTGATTGCTTCCTGGCACCAAAGGCCTTCCTCTCCGTGTGCAGAAAGCAGAAGAGAAGGACGCAGGCATAAACAAACACCAACATTCCCTTAATGGCCTGGAGCCATCTGAGCTCCTGAGCCAAACTTCCACTCCCCTGACAACCCGGACACAAAGGCAAACCAGGAAGCCCCCGCCTCGGGGAGGCTGAATCTGGGCCAGCAGGTGGGCGGGGAGCTGGGCTCCTGTCACCTCCCCCTCAGGGGACCCCTGAAAGGACGGCGCATTTTAGTCCAGGGGAGGAAAACGAGGGCTGCCCCTGCCCAGTGTCCACACGCAGTCTGAACCCAGAGGCCACGTTCTTTCCAGCTGCCGCATCGCCCCTCTTAGAAAGAGAAGCATTTTAAAAATAAAAAAGGGTTTCCCGCTGCCGTAGCGGCAGAGAATCCAGCTGCCTTGCTGTAACTGATTAAACCATTGTGCTGCTGTTTGGCATCCCCCTCAGGTCTTGTCTGTGTCCTGCGATTCTCTGACGTTTGCTCAGCTTCCAACCGTTTTATTTTTTCACGTCCATTACCTCGTTGGCGCTACTCACTCACTGTGTGAGGTGGGTGTCTAGTCACGTGTCCTGGGAGCTCAGTCGCTCAGTCGTGTCTGACTCTTTGCCACGCCTTGAACTTTAGCCCGCCAGGCTCCTCCGTCCATGGAATTTTCCAGGCAAGAGTGAGTTGCCACTTCCTTCTCCAGGGGTCTAGTCACATCCCATTTTACAAAGGAGGAAACTGAGGCCCCAGGAGCTTTGGAGAGTTTCCCAAGGTTACTTGGCTGAGAAGTGATGGAGACAGGATTTGAACCCAGACTGAAAACCAGGCCCATTCTTTTAACTACTGTGCTTCATCCGGGTTGTTAAAAACAAAGAAAAACAATTCAGTGGAGTCAATTTAAAGATCTTATTGGCCCTATTCAATTATTCATGGATCAGACAGCATCCCAACTAACAACTGGAAAAGAGTCGCCAGGAGCTGTACAAAATGAAGGACGTTTATAGGCAGAAGAGGATGGGGCGAGGAGGTGAGACTCGCAAAGAGCTGTTCGTTAGTGGCAAGGTCGCCTTTCCTTGAGGGGACAGCAGGCTTCGATCAGATTGTGTCACTCGTGCTAACCGGGTAATTCCAGACTGGTTTAAGACGCTGTTCCTAGGGAAGGCTGAAACTGTGAATAAGTTATATTTGAGTCTTTGTTTGGTAACATGGAACTTAGAACAAGTGACCCCATTTTGGGTCTGTTGTCTCTCTTTCTTTTCAAGTTTTTTTTTTCTTTTTTTTTTTGACCGTTTGTTTTAAAGTCTTTATTGGTTTTGGTACAACATTGCTTCTGCTTTATGTCTTGGTTTTTTGGCCATGAATCATGTAGGATGTTAGTGCCCTGACCAGGGACTGAATCTGCGCTCTTGGCATTAGAAGCAGTCTTAACCACTGGACCACCAGGGAAGTCCCTGCTGTCTCTTTTTAACAGGGCTCCGTGTTCAGTGCTTTGCTGTCATTAGTTCACTTAATCCTGGTGATGAGCTTGCAGTATAGGAGGACTTATTTAATCCCAACTTACCATTAGAGCTATAAAAACTTGGCAAGAGGAAGACACTTGCCCAGGTCACGTGGCGAGCCGCATCTGTCTGCCTGGAAAGTCCCAGAGACGCATTCCCTGATTCTCATGGAGAATAACCATGTCCCTCCACCACGGTGCAGGCTTGCTTGCTTGTCCTGGAGCTGAGCAGAGGGGAGTTGTGGGCAGACCTGTGCGAGTTGCCCGGTTTGCCTTGGATCTGGGATGGGGGCGTGGGAAGGCTTTCGTAACTTGGCAGGTCGGTTAGTTGGTGCGGCCTTGAGTCTTCTCCTCCGTAAGCTGTAGGAAGGGGAATGGAAATCAGCCTGACCCGTCTGCTTGCTCCCATTGTCTTCTCACTGGGTCCTTGAACCTTCCCCGTGGGAAGGACTCTCTCCAACTTGCCAAGGAAGAAGCAGAGGCTCGGAGTAGGGAGATGATTCATCTAAGGTCGTGTAGCTCGTTGAGCAGGGATCCCAACCCAGGGCAGTCCAGAAGTTGGGTTCCTCCCTCTGCTCCAGACACCCCAAATGTTGAGGCCCCATTCAGGAGGGTCTCCTAAGGCCCTGCGAAGTTAAAGAAAGCATCAGTTACCTACGTGGGGCCTTTCTCTTCCATTTTTCTCGCTGCTTGACCCTCACCGGGCTCGGTGCCACGCTGGGGCTCCACACCAAGGCTGTCTTTGCCCAATTCTGTGCCCTCCAGACAGCATGAGCCTTGCCCTTTTCCTGCCCTCCCTTTCTAGAGGGGTAGCTGGGAAGCACAAGGCACAGAGACAAAGCCAGGTGCCAGGGGCTTGAAAGGCTTACAACTCTTGCCAAGGAAAATGTTAGACTTCAGAGGGAGAAAGTTATCTTTCACACACTCCAGACCAATTCCCATTTTCTTGCCACTACACGCCTCGAAGATGTCTCTCTGGAAAACAAAAGATTAACGTTTTCACATTTGTTTAAGAGAGATGGTGAGATATGGAGATGTATATAAAAGAGTCTTGACTGGTCAGAGAAGCAGATGACAGCTTGGTTTGGGTCTTAGTTGTGCCTTGACAAAGCTGTGTGACCTTGGGCTAGTCACCTTCCTTCTCTGGGCCTCTGTACAAAATAAGAAAGTTGAAATAGATGATCTCTAAGTTTCCCTCTGCTCATCCCTGACTTTCTGTTAATTGAAATTTAGCATGACCTGTGTATGTCTCGCTCAAAGTTGTGTCTTGTCTATCAACTGGAGTTAAGGTAAATGTGTTGAGGTCCAGTCATATAATGGACTATCATTCAGCTATAAAAAAGAATGGGTGCTGGTAAATGCAACATCATGGATGCATCTCAGAAACATTCTATCAAGTAAAAGAAACCAGACACAAGGAACTGCAGGCTCTAAGAGTCCATCATAGGAAGTTAAAAACAGACAAAACTTAACTGTGGTGAGAAAAGTCAGAGAGTGGTTGCTTTATGTGTGTGGAGGGGTGGTGATTATTGACTGCAAAGGAGCATGGGGAACTCTTTGGGGAGTAGAGGTACTCCACACCTCAATCTGGGGGAGTTACAGCAGTATAAACAGGTGAAAATTCATCAGGCTGTACCCCTAAGACATATGCGTTTTTCAGTACCTTAATAACTCAGTAAAACTGTTATAATATATAATCATATACATCCTAATGCACAAATGTCATGTGCATGTAGGTATACATTTATAATCATACATGCATGTGTATTTCTCCTAGAACTGTTCACAATAGAAACCACTAGATGTATCCAAATGGAAAGTTTTGACAAAGCAATTACCAAACTATATACCCGTGAGTGTGCTCCAAGAGGAAGAAAAGGCATCTGAGCATTTTTGAGAAGAACTGTTTCTCGGTGTGACCGTGCTTTGGAGCATACCACCGTGTCTAAGAGATGAGGAGGAGAAAGCTTCAGTTTGGAGGAAGTCTGCTCAAGGCTCAGGGGAGCCCACTGTGGCGGGAAGCGGGCAGGAGACTTCTTTTCCAGACGCGGCCAAGTCAGTACCAAGCGCTGCCTTTCTCTTCTCGGCAGGACCCGAAGCCTTTAGGGGCAAGCCGTGTGTCTGGTCCAGGCCCCACCCAGCTGCAGGCATCCGCCCATCACCCCCAGGCTGAGCCCAACCCTGGGTCACAGTGCCTGCCTTGGTGGCACCGTATGAGTCAGCTCTGGCTGCCGTGACAAAGGGCCATGGACCAGAGCGCTTAGTCGACAGAAATGTAAATGTTATCTCAGTGCCGCTGTGATCTCAGAGGTCCAAGGCCAAGGTGCTGGCAGGGTGGTTTCTTCCGAGGCCTCTCTCCTTCCTTATACATGACTGTCTCCTCCGTGTGTGTTTGTGTGTCCATCTGGATTGCCTCTTCCTGTTAGGACACCTGAAGTATTAGATGAGGGCCCGTCTTATTTTAATCGAATCACCTCTTTTTATTTATCTCTGTGCGGAGTCTTCATTGCTACGCAGGCTTTTTCTCTAGCGAGTGGGGGCTCCTCTTCCTTGCTGGGACCCGGGCTCCTCACTGCAGCGACTTCTTTTGCTGTGGAACGTGGGCTCTGGGGTGTGTGGGCTCAGGTTGTGGAGCACGGGCTTAGCTGCTCCACGTGGCACGTGGGGTCTTCCGGGACCAGGGATCGAACCTGGGTCTCCTGCATTGGCAGGTGAGTTCTTTACCACAGAGCCACCAAGGAAGCCCTGAATTACCTCTTCAAAAGCCCTGTCTCCAAACGCAGTAACATTCTGAGTTA